GAGAGAGAGAGAGAGAGAGAGAGAGAGAGAGAGAGAGAGAGAGAGAAACCTGTGGCACGGCACAATCTGCATGAGCTGGATCCCAGAGAACACAATTGAAGCATTCCCAGTTGTCGGTTTGAACTTCAAAAAGTGGGGCTCTGCAAATTCAACAATCTCAGTATAGTAACAAAACAAACCAAAAACTACCCTGCAAGTGTTTGATAGGTTCGAGCGGAAAACTCAGAACTTAAGGCTCTGTAGATAATTCAGGGGACAATATATTTGCTTCACAACCAATAGGAATAATAAAAGAACCTGCACCTACTTCACAGAAATTCCACCATCTTCCAAACTCCACGAAGTATTTCGACTGAAAACTAGTTTAACAGTCAATTTTTTGTTTTTTCAATAAAATTAACTCCCTTCACACAGCAAAAAATACAGGAAAGAACCATGCACGAGTATATTTTGAAATTCCCCTTCAGTCACTGATTGCTACATTTACCAATGTTTACTATCATCATTTTCAACTGTCTCGTTGTTTGCTCTTAATAACCGCAAAGATGAGATTAAACTTTTCTATTCCTTAATTAAAGTTTCCTCTTCGAAATGAGGTTCATACGTAAAAATATTCCATGTCAACATCTAGATTCAGTATCTTATTAAAAAATAAAAACATCTAGATTCTGTATACAATTTATCCAAATCGAAAAAAAAAATTACCTGCGCCATTTCGCGCAAACTGTTCCATCAACACCTTCTCCAACGCCTTCTATTACCCCTCGGCATTGAAGCCAATTACCAATAAAATTGACGCTTAAAGGTTTGACAGGGTTCCCTTCCTGGGAAAAATCAGAAGTCAAACTGCATTCCCTTCAGAACATTCATGATATTCTCATCCCAGAATTTTACCTTAATATTGACATAATCAGAAGGATCCAACTCTACTGCATCACCAATTAGATTGTGTTCCCTGTTACAATGATAAGCATCAAAATTATAAAAGTGAACAGAAAAATGAACTAAGGAAAGAAGTGAGATAAAAAGGGAACAATAACCGTCAACAAACAGCAAAAGCAAGATAAACGTCCTGTGACATCAGTATAAAGTATTATAGTGTAAGGTGAAAATAGTTAAAGAAGCTGGATTCACTGCTTGCTAGACTAGATTAATGATTGATCATACTCTAGAAGATGATAATCACAAACCTAACTTCCAAATATAGTGCCATCACGAATCCTTATAACTTGAATAAATAGTATCACATGCATCAAGAAGACACTAGAGCTTGAAACTGTACAAGAAGACATATATTAAAAGGAAAGCAGATACGTAGGAATAAATCCAATATTAAAAATCCTATTTACGATTACACAAAGCCCTAAAAATCTCACCCTTAAATTCCATAACAATATAAAAATTAAAGTTGGTGATTTGTTATTAATTTATTATAGATCCAAGGCATTTGAAGTAGTATTGAACAAACGTTCATTCTCGGTTTCTCAACAATTACTTTTATGTTAGGATGCTTTCGGTTAATCTGTTAACCCACTAAAACACTAGAGACAGACACCATAAGTTTGTGAGTATAGTTGTAGGTTTTGGATCATTATAAACTGCAGAAGAACTTTTAGACCTTCAATGGTCACCGAATAGATGAAATACAGATAAAGAAATAGGCAATACTAACATCAAGATGAATGATACAACTACATCCCATTAAGTACATGTGCAAAACTCGAGATTGATCGTGAAACTTACATAAAAAAATGCCCTGTTTCATGTCATCAAACATTTATCATCATCAATAATTCTCCAATGACAATAATCACAGCAGAAAAAGAAAAGACAAATACCATAAACCATTTGATGTGCAAGAGTCTGAGAGAACATACTCATGAGCAGCGCCAGACCAACTAGGAACAGAAGCTTGGAAATCATCACCAACTCGCACGTTCGACATATACGGCTCAGTATCTCTGAACATAAATTCCAAGGATCCAAACTCACCTTCTGACACCAAACACCGTTTTCTGCCAATTTCATTGCCAATATTGGTCGAATTACTGCTCGACTTATCTTTCAATATCTTATGCTTCTTTTTCAAGCAAGAGCTGCAGAGCCACTCGCCAGCTGGCAATACGGTTATATGAGGATTGCAGCAAGAAACATGAAATGCGCCCTCGCAATTGTCGCATATAAGCATGTGCTGCGTACTTTTCACACGATTGCAAACTCTGCACGGCCTCAAACAGTACTTTTTGCTATTATTTTTATTGGAGGCCCGATTGTGTTTAGTCAAAACTCTATCGAGAAGCCCCTGTCCTCGCAGAATTGAAATGCATAAATCTCTTGCCGAAATTTCCTCCACCGATTTCTCGTCTATCAACGCACCAGAAGACGAGCACTCGCCCGATTCATCCATATTGAACTTCAGGGAAGCAGAGCTGAGTTCCAAATTAGATTTGGAGGAAGAACAATTTTCATTAGCATTCGCAACTCTGTCCACATCATCACTCATCAGGGCCCGTCCAATGCTGGATTCTTTTCGATTATCATATCTATTAGCAAGTTCATCTTCAGCTGCACGCTCGGATATGGAGACCGCGTGGTGGGCTTCAGAGCTTACGGCAGATCGACAGCCAACACTTGGTTTAGTTCCATTAGGTGGCTCGATTTCGACAGTTGAACAGGGGTCCTTGTGAGGTCTCTTCCTTCGGTACACAAACGTTGGTGCGTCTCGAGACATTGAACTTGACGTTGACAGCTGGGAAATTCCATTAGGTAGCTCGGTATCAGAAATTGAAACGGGGTCCTTATGAAGTCTCTTGCTCTGATATACAAAAGTTGGTGTGATGTTACGAGACATTGTACTTGAGGTTGATAGCTGAGAAATTCTATTATGTGGTTTAACTTTAACTCCATCGGGCGGCTCATTTTCAGAAATGCAAATGGAATCCTTATGTGGACTCCTTCGTTGGTATACAAAATTCGGTGTGAAGTTTCGAGACATTGTACTTGAGGTTGATAGTTGGGAAGTCCCATTATGTGGTTTAACTCCATCTGGTGGCTCGGGTTCGGAAAGGGAAATGGGGTCCTTATGTGGACTCTTTCGTCGGTATACAAAAGCCGGTGTGGAAGTTTGAGACATTGATAGCTGAGGAAGATTAACTATACAGTTTACAGACACTGGGAAATTTTCTCAGTGATGATGATGGAGAAGGAATGAACCTAGCATTAAAGGCATATCAATCAAATATATAAATAAATAAATTCACATACGTCATCAAGTTTGTCACACTATTTAATATATCAGACTCCGGAAAAACAACATATATTAGAGTTTCTAAAAGTTTTGAGGCTGCAGCCTGATTGATGCTAGTTCACGTGCACAGAATAAAAAGTTAAATTGGTATACCCCAAAAATCACTGTTAAACATCATATACAAAAATTCAACCATCAGGCGGATACATACAGGATAAAATTTACAAGTTAAAAGATAGACAACAAAATAGCAGGGATTCGGGCACTTGTTTTTTGATTCTATCCTCATGCCTGAAATCTTGTTATCTTACATTTCTGCTGATATATAATATAAGATTGCACCTTGCAATATCGCAAACAAACTCATCTTACCCGTTATTTCTAAATTTTGGTCACAGCATAAACCAAATACTCAATTATGACTCTAAAAACAGTTAAAAATAAGACTCCTAAGGACTTGAAGTCCATTTCACCCGAAAAAACTCAATAGATTAGAATTCGAAATGCTCTCCCTCAAAAATCCATCCATCCAGATGAGGCCTAAAGCTGTGTTATAGCTGAAACTTCTTTGTAATGTACTCGCCTTTAAAAATACTACTTTTGACCTCAAGACATCAGAAAGTCTACACCTACAACAAAATAGAAAGAATCAACCATTATTTTGATAAGCTTGACATTCTTTGCCATCTCCTCTCCATCAACAAACTGCAAATATGATTCCATATGTATCCCATACTTCAATCAGCTAATTGGGTATCTTTCAAAACGTATCCAATCTTTTTGAATTCACCAAAAACCTTATTAACTCTTTATATTCCCACGATCTTGGATATTGAACTTCAGGATTAAACGCCCAGCCGTAAGATCGTATGGGAGAGATAGAGTAATCCAACATGAATAACCAAGAGTAAACACATTTTACAGCCTATGGTTATTAGAATCATCAACATCATGTGAAGAAAACGGTACTTCATCAGTAGTGTAAATATTTACGACTAAGCGTAGATGGGAGGAAAGGTCCTCTTCAGTGAGTAATTACAAATAGTGAACTGGTGCAACCTGATATTGCTTTTATATGATAAGTTAAGAATTTTTAACATTGAGATGGATTAAGGTTTTGAGGCATGATTCATATTTTGGTTTTATGTGATAGTACCAAATAGGTTTCATAGCTAGTTGGCAGAGCTGGTAATTATCAACTGGAATTATTATTCCTGTTAAGAATTTTTCCATCTAGACCATATTATAGAGCACGGTCTTGTGAGTGAAATCCTTTCCCTCACTAAGAAGACGTGCACATTTCAGTCACAAATGTTTTCAGATAGAAAAATAAATCGGGTGTAATCAAAAGGCAATGAAAGCATAGAAAAAAGAACTTTCTGATCTATAATACAATTACTCTACAGATAGCTACCCAAATGATTTCATCATCAGAAAATCAGACGTAACAATCAAAGCATAGACATTTTATGAGAAACACCCATCAACTATCGAAAGCACATCTTCAAGAATCCAAACTAATCAATCAAAACGTGGTGAATCTTACAAATGACTTCCTGATCCAATACAGTTAAAGTAACAATATCCTGGGTACCCAAGCAAATTTTGTCAGTGAAATCAAGCTTAGAAATCTAATGTGAAAACCCCGTGAAAACTAGACGTGCAATTCCAAAAACCCAGATTCATCCATGCAATATCGACTGATTTGGTATTCGATTCAATAGCCCACGCCTCTAATAGCCACAATTTTTTTTCCTTCCATCTCTAAATTCCCATCTGAATCCCAAATACACACATTTCTAGAATCTTCTAATCCCTATTACAAAATACCATCTGATCTCAACAACCACTCACCATAAAGAACATTGATTTTGCCAACCCCTCCATCAGATTGATTCCCCATTGATGAACAATTACCTCTCAATCCCAGGCATCGGTTTTTTTCTTTAATTCCAAGGGTTTCCAGTAATGTATCCCTATGGTTCAGACGTGTTGCTAACCCTCACCAGTAAATCAAAACGGTTTTGCAAACCCAATTCAACAGGCAACCAAACAAACATATACACGGGCTATGATGATAGTTCTACAGGCATTTGACAAACTATTAAGCATATCAAACAAAAGACAGGATTTTTCAGAACTAATCTGCGTTAATATTTCAAGAAAACACAGTAAATAACTCAAGAAACAAACCAAGAACAAAAGGAAGTAAATGGGTTTTTTTTTTTTTTTTTTTTCCTTTGATACCTTTAGTCCGCCATTAAAACAGTTGCATCAGTAAAGTCTTGCTTTTAACGCTTTCCTGCAGAAGGCTTTGGTGGGTTTTCTTTTCTTTTCTCTCTTGAGAGGGAGAGAGTAGGAGATGGGAATGCACTGTGTGTAGTTATATGCAAAACTATATATTTTTGAGTGTTGGGCAGCAAATGGTAAGAGCAAGATTTGAAAGTGTAAAATGTGCTTTGGTATCTTGTAATATATGTATTGACACGTGTCCAACGTGCATTTATTGCAGGACACGTGTTACTACACCATTTGTGGAAAACTATGGATGACTCCACAAGCCGAGTCATCCGATGGGCCCATAACAAAACCGTGCAATATATATTGTTTAAAGTTTGTATTTGCACCGATACATTGAGAAATGAGGATGTGTGACGTTTGTAACTTATTTTGGAAAAAAATTACTTTATTTTTAAGTTGGTATATTATTGATCGAGGTTGAGATGTGTTCGTATTGACTTAGATATGATAATAGAAGTCTATATAAAATATATTAAAGGAATTATACGCTTAAGCAAAGGTCGGCAACTCGATTGAGTACGTTAATAAATATTCAACTTTTGACCCAACGAACGAACAACTGAGCACGTTAGTCGATATTGAGCTTTTGACTGAACGAACGAAATGAATTGCACGTGTAAATTAACACAAGTTCGTACTTTGATCAAGATTCATGTTGTAACTAGAAGCAAACGTAATTGAATTAATTACACGCGATCATTAATATGCATAACAATCTTATGAATCATGCTACATTATCAGAATGATTTACAGATTGAGTTACAGAAAATACACATAACGAGCATTTGTTGTTGTTTTCATCATAATATTACCAACTAGAATCTTGGCTATTGCCTTAGTACTTGCGAGTTGTGACACTCCACACACTTGAATGACAAGGAAAAACAATGTTTACATTTATTGATGTTACAAACCAAGTTGAAGATTCATGAGGGATGACTAAAATCCTAACAAGAAATTGTTAAATTCCCAATGGAAATAGTTTCAGTAAGTGAACACACAATGTGTCGAATGAACTTGTTACATAATGAGTCCACTCTGTGTCGGAAGATTGAATTTCGAGCCCATTCTGTAAATGGTAGTTTAGATCATTCAGAGCCGAATCCATGTTCTCCATCATAGTACCTGGACAATAAACTATTTAATCAGAAAGTCGAAATATAAGATTAATATCACAGGCGAGAATGTGTGCCTAACAAAGTCAAAATGAACCAATATTTCAATCTCATATCAGTCATGGCAGGACATGTAAGGGTGTCTAAAAAAATTGATGCAACATTTAAAATCTCCTCATGTATTCAATTTGGCCCACTTGTAACTTCTAACAGATGATATTTACTAGCATTCCCTAGTTTATGGATCTATTTTAACCTAAATCTGGCTTTCCAGGCATTGGATCGTTACTATAATCAAGTTTCAAATAACAAAGAAAGAATGGAAATCCCAAAGTACAGCAATGATATTGCGATAGA